TAAACCAGGGGTTTTCGTGAACAGGGGAACAAGGGCGCTGCGCCCTCATGTAACAAACCAGCGCCCTCATATCAATTTTCAGATTGAAGCCTAAGTCTTTTTACAAAATCATCTTTTCCAGTAAAAATACAAAAACAACACCACATAACAATACATTCTGGCATTACAAACTATGTTACTCTCATAAAAATTCCAAAATCTTACCACAAACTTGGAAATTTAGCTCTAGTAGTAAAAGTTTGAATGGAATAAACAATGTTCATTGAGACTTGCTCAAAAACATGTAGCTAGACCTCCTTCATTTGCATACTATAGAACAGGCTCTGAAGTGAAACATGAGACCTGAGTTTGTAGCAGCTTGGATGAATGTGTTGCAATTGTGCCATGGGAAAGGTTTCAGCTTGTGGCAAACCCATGTTATCATCTGGAGCTACTAGTAACATTGATCACTAATTGTGTAAGTGTATAAAGGGTGATTTGCAGATTGTGTGTACTGTTGATTGTACTTATATTTTATAAGTGAAATATGCAATGCATGAATAGAAATTTGGGAAAGGTATATTGAGGTTAAGAGTTCAAAATTTCCCCCCTCAAGTAGCCTCAAAATGTCCCATTTCAACTTCAAATTTTCAAGGCTTCAATGGCGAACGGGGGGATACCCCCCCTTCCCGCCACCAACCCCCCCTCGGTCGCTTCGCTCCCTCGCCGTGATACTGCTCCCTCATGCCAAATTTTTCTAGAAAAACCCCTGAATAACTTCAGTGATACGTCAACAACTTGCTGCCACCATCACCAGGCAATACAACTCAGATGTTGCAAGCTGTGATGAATTGATTTTCATAAATAAATTTCTGTGTACGCGATACTGGTGCGCTACATGGACTGGTCCTCGCAGCTAACCAATGTTGTTTGGTGTTCAACTCAAGTGTTGCTGTAGAGAAAACACAAAGATATAGAACCAGGATTAGTATCATTTTAAGTTTGCAACGACCAGAAAACAAATAATTCTCTAAAATATAACTAATAAAATATTTTTTTTTTTTGCATGAATAAACACAAGACTACATAAAAGTCACCCATACAAAATATATGTGTTGGGCTGTGTAATTATTTGTAACAAGTCTTCCTAAAGTATTGCCAAGTACACAGCTCCCAACCGCCAACACGTAAACAAGATAATCAATCACAGATGTCAGCCGCGCCCTGCCTTAGTTTTTCTTTCCCTTACACATGAATCTTGGATTTATAGCATTGTCGTGAACAGTTACAAACGGTCGTATTGTTACAAAGTTTGTGCAAGACGTTCAGAAGAAAATACTAGTAAACTGAAGAAGAGGGACAAAAGGTTTGGACTAACTGACAAGATGGTGCGGCTAGACATATAATTCACAAACAGTGGCTCAACAAACGACGGCATCGATCGGCTTTCCTCCATTAGAACTTGTCGAGTAACCATAGCATCTCAAAAATTCATTCTACGCAAAGTTACCGTCACAAAAGCAACAGTTTGTAAGGATATTTGAGGAAAGTATGGACTACCCACCCTCTCGCCAGCGCCCTTCCTCTCCGACTAAAGCTGGGTGGTTGTGCGACGGGAAATCTAGCTGTATCCATCCGCCGCGAAACTGGTCAGATATCGTGTGTGCCAACAACTAACTTATACGAAACAAATATTATCCGAATAATTACCTAACAAATATAACACAATACGAAAATGGTGGAAATTGTTTAAAATCTATCAGTTGTTACTAGATGCTGCGTTCTTGTCCGCTCTACTTTCTGGCGGCACTTGTATACATCCTGTCTGTGGAGGTTATTCGGTGGCGTGGGTCGGTAGGCTCACTAAGGGTTTATCTAAGGCCCAGTTTACGCAGTTTTTCACGACAGTGGAACTGCAGATGTCGGGACTGCCGACGGTTAGCTTTTTTTCGTCGTGTAGAGAGGATTTCACGTCGGAGTTTACGTTATCAGCATAAAGCGTTCTCCCAGGAGAAATATATTTTCACATTCCAGTAGTCATTATCGAAACGCTATCTTCACTGCACTGTGATTGATCATCCGAAATGACGTCATCAACCACTCCTCATAAGGCGCGCGCGCACTCCATTCTGCCCTTTGATTCGGAGCAAGGACGTTCGACACAAGGACTGAGCTCGCCATAACCCTGTTACAACAGTTCTTGACAGAAAAAAATCTTCGAGGGGCTATTGAAGAAGAGGCACATTGTAGATGCCCCTATGCTTGATGATACTCCAAATGTTGATACTAAGCTGACAAGTGAGGAAGAGCAGGTAGTCAGGTATATAGCTGGGTTTATCCCATATGCTTTACTCAAAGGTACAGGAGACTACACACAAACAAGGTTGCACAACTGTATGCTACTATCTTACAACAGTGGAAAGTGTCCTCAACAAAACACGCATACCACCTTCCTCAAGTATACTGAAGGATGGATTAATGAGGTAAACCGAGGCGGTCTCTTTGTGTCATCTGACACAGTGTATATATTCTTCCGCCATGTTGAGAATGTTGTTAGATGTACAGCCAACTTCGAGCAGTTCTCCCAGGGTAGGCAGTTCTTCAAGGGCTAAGGGAGGAAATCATGAAGAATCTAGAGTCAAGCTACACAGTAAACCACTATTGGTGTGAGATTGCCAGTAGCTACATACCTGAGGAAAAACTCAGCAAGAATTTGAAAGTGGTTCTGTTGTACTATGTAAACCTACGATACCGTGCTTTTGCAGATGTGTACATTCTAGTACAAAAACGCAAGAACTCTGACTTTGCCTCCAAGAAGGGTGAGAAGTCCCTTAGAAAATCTTTGGACAAGTAATGTGATATATATTTTTGTACATACATTATGTAAGACTGTAGCTTATCTTTCATTTGTGCTTTAACAATCTTGACAGGGGTACAATTTCTTTCTTTGAACGCATTTTGAGCATTGCACAGCTAAAGCAATGTAGTACAGTGTAGTTTGCTTGTTAACCCTAAACAGTACACCTGGGGTCCGCGCGGACCCCAGCACTATATATTCTGTAATATCTTTTTTGTTTCTAAAGATTTTTTTCAGAAATTTTAGGTAATTGTCACCCACAAAGTTGTCTCTCAATACAGTGCACAAAACTCAGTTTCTACCATTCATAAAAAAATTATATCTGATTTTCTTTTGGGGTCCGCGCGGACCCCAGCCGGCTTTCGATCATAATGGATACACTGGCGTTCTTATACATTACCTTATTTCCGTTTTTATATGTTTTTATGCACTCATCGTATGTCTACCAAGTTTTCAGAGAATGGTGTAGTAATAGAATTAAATTTTAATAACTTTGGTGTAATAATGACGTCATATGACGTCAGAGCTAATAATATAGTCCACCATATTGGATTTTGACCAATGACGTCATCAAATTAGCATATTCTATGCATATTAAATGATTTAACTTATATTTAATTATGTAAGATGTTATTAATGTTGGAAAAGAAGTGTAATTTAATATAAAACTCAGAAAATTTTATGTTTAATCCAAAATTACTTCTATTTTCAAAAAAACTGCCTGCTTTTAACCCGTTGCCATGGCAACACAAAAAAACATCAACTTACTAGTATTAAACTAATATGAACTTTTTTCCAGAGACATTTTAGGAAAGGTCTCCAAATTTGATACTTCTAGCGCAAGCCGTTTAGCCGCTATCTGAGATCAAAGTTGGGCCTCAAAAGCCCCTTCAGTCTGAAATGGGTTTAAAAATCGGGTATTTCTTCTTGTCTTCTTTTCTTCACCAAAAAATAGAAAAAGTTCAAAATGTATGATTTTTGTATGCAATGTGGACACAGAGGTTCCCACATCAGTTTGCAAAGCAATTGAGCTGGTAGCATGTTGATAATTTCTAAAAATTAGCAAAAAACTGCTCTGGGGTCCGCGCGGGGTCCTGCTCTGGGGTTCCCGTCAGAAATGACAGTACCGGTATAACATGTAACACACACACATTTGCTTCAAAGCCATGTTCGTCAATTTTACTGGTAGTTTTACTGGAAGTTGAATTTTAAAGGAATAAGAAAACCAATAATCAGTTAAGTTTATATTGCGAGATACTGCCATAGTCACTTCAAAACCTCATAAATCACAAGCTATGGCACTCATGAATTGTAAACACATGGCGACGTCTTGAAACAACAAGAAAAGCAATTTTTCATCATAAGCCACACCTACCTTTCTGAGATGGAGTCAAGGAATTTTCACAGAACAGACCGGTGTGCTAATACTTGCTCTCCGACATTCAGACAGACAGTCTCAAAATGGACTTTAATGACGCGGACGAGGGGTATGAGTCTGGCGACGAGGTCTACATGTTCGTGCAGGAAGAAGTAGGTCTTTTATTTAATTGCCTTGTATTCCTCATTGCATGGTGGGATTCAAAGGAAAGACACCCAATCTACGTTAGTTCATGCCCCAGAAGCGTCATGCCAGGTTCGGTGTAAAACTGGTGTGTGTGTGACAACAAGAATGGCTACACATCTTTCTTTGAAGTGTACAAGGGAAAGGAACAAGGAGCACCAGTTGACACCCGTGGGACAACACACGCTCTCGTGATGAGGCTGCTGACTTCCTGCAACTTTGTCACCCTCGCCCGAAAATAAGTGGACTCCGCGAAGCGCACTTAGCAACGAATCAGGAGAGTTGTTCACCGGCACCATTCACCGTCTGACCGCCATAGAGCGAAGACCGTGTCAGCAGAACTCCAAACACATATTCTCCTCCTGAGACTAAAACAACCGCGGCGGGGCCACCACCTTGGTGTGAAGAACTTCTTCTCTCCAGATCTCTTCTTTGAACTGTACAGGGAAGGGACTGTTGATTTTTTTTTTTTATCTCAGGATTATCAAGTGACTATGTTTACTGTCAGTGATAACATGGAAGAAGCCCTTTCAGAAGTGTCTGCATTAATGGAAGATGCTACTGTTGCCTCACTGGTTGCAGAGGGCAAAGTCGCAGCCAAAAAAATTGAACGAGTATAGTATGTATTGGCAAAATTGTCAGTCCCGTTGTTCAGAATAGCTTTCTGTGGTGTCTTACTTTTTAACCATGTTGATATATTTGATAGCGTGAGTTATTGTTAATCTCTTAATACATGACTTTGGTGAATTATAGCAAAGCAATATTGTACTGTATATTCAAATTCAGCATTCAGAAAGTCAAACGTTAATTGTAATTAGTAGTCTTGTCTTGATCATTGTCGTGTGTTGTACAATATTGTGACTTATGTTTTTGTACCAGACCCATGAAGATACCTCAAACTGGATATCAAAAAGCGGCGCTCCGCAAGTGGGACTGACAGAAGGCAGGTCCAGGTGAAAGTCCTAGAGACTCAGCACAACATGCTGTCTCTAGAAGTTGTCAACGACAATGGAGTTGTGCTGAGGAGGAGATACCACATCTCCCAGTTCATCTTCAATAGGTTATTTTACATGTGTGCCAAACCACAGGAACCATCACTTTGTGAAGTCTGGTCAGACTTTATTTATAGATGCATAGTGTTGTAGTCGGTAAAAAATTAAGAGATTGGGTTAGTGATGGTCCAGGCATGGTTTGGGACAAGGCACGGTTTGGGACACAGCACAAGGATATCAGAGAAGTCGAAGCAGTCCACTCAGTGGGACAAGGTTGTGTGGGACGACTGGGCGAGAGCGCAGAATTCTTTGCGCACAGTCGGTGATGTGGATCCCGGAGACAACTACTTCATCATCCCGGTAGACCTGAGTGAAACCTCCTGAGATGGACTTCTGGCTCTCAAGATGTGTGATTAAAATCCGCCGTCAGGATGGCAAGCCGCACCCCCCCCCCAAGACACTGGACAACATTGTCGCAGCCATCGCAGCACTCGTTTTCCCGCCCACCCTATCCACTTAAATGTATCTGAATATTACAATATTTACGTTATATTCTTGTGTCCTCAGGCGGGGACTTTATTTCTCCGACTGTAGAACCTCAAAAATGTCATTAAAAGAAGCTAACCGCCAACACCAGGAGGCATGGTCTTTATTGAGTACTAAATGCAATGTAGTGAGCATAGATATTTAGTGAGGTTAAACAGGCAGGTTCGAGAAGTTAAAGTTCAACTGGGAGCAGCCAGCTCAGAAAGACCAGCAGATCTAGAGGGGAGGCTGGCTTCCCCGATGTTGGACACGTGGCGCGGTCACATCAAAATGCAATTGTCGGACATAAAAGTCCAGAAGTCGGTTACGAAAGCCTACAAGTCAAAATATCAGACAAAATTCCCATCAATCACATCTGTAAAGTGCGTATGTGAGGGAAAGTCTCATAGGAAGGGTTGTGGGTGTATTTCAGATGCGTTCAACAGGCAAGCAAGAATTCCTTTTATTTTCTGCTTCTAAGTCTAAGCGGACAAGGACCATGACGCCCTGAAGGCCTGGGCCAGGTCAAAGTCGCTGGGTAAATACCACGGTCGCGACGATGCTTGGAAAGACCCCAACACAAAAACAAGTTCCTGCAAAACGTGCAAAAACAAAACCAAGCATTCATGACAACAATAGGCCCTTTAAGTACCACACATCAATAAGCAATATTTACAGTGCAGTAAGATTTGGGAAATTAAAAAAAAATAGCCATGGCATTCAACATTGTGATTTTGACAAATGTGATTAATGACGTACTTCATAAATTTCAGGCTCCAAAACCTGAAAAGCGCAGACCACCCAAGACCTGCAACAACACAGTCGGGAAACAGCACATGTCCATGAGTGACATGGACATGACAGAACTCTTTAGGAAAGTTCTACTAGGTGGATTCCTCCGACCCAATACACATACCGTTTATAGTAACTAGTAACTAATGGTGACCACCGTTATATAGTAACTAATAAGCCAAGAGGCTATCTTCACATCCTAGGATGTGACCGTTATTAGTAACTCAGTTCCTTACTAAGGAAGTTAACGGCCGGACAGTGTTGCACACGCAGTTATATGGGTAATCAGGAGTATTTTCTTGGCGAGGTCACCCGGTAGATGACCTCTCATAATGGCCGCCATTTTTGATCTGACTCGGACAGTTTTTACTAGTATTCAGGATGAAAATAAACACCAAGGCTGCTGCCACGAGATGTTTTTAATACTGTTAACGGAGTATTATTATAGCTTAGTTAAAGTACATGTACTTTCATGAGACCATCGACTGATGCGAAACAACGACGGGCAGATTGCCTTTCGACTTTGTGGATGGATGTTTGACCCGATCCCGCGTCTTTTCGCCAACAAATCACGTCCAACTTTGATAAGGCATGTTATATAGGTAGGTATTTCTTGCCTGTTTTCACTGTATATATTGCCGTAGTTTTGAACATCTCAATATTCTTTTATTTCTAAGCAGATTCTGTGGGGTAAAAGCGTCGGGCTATATCCACTGACTAATCTCCAAGCAGATGTTTTGGGGAGGGGGGCTAGACAGTATCAAATTGGCCAGTCTGGGGAAATGGTTACAGACTGGGCAATTTAATACTTGGAGATTATCCATTGACCTCCTGCTTGGCTGCCCCATTATGCGATGGTTTAAACTAAGACACAGGAGACCAATGAATAAATATTATGTAGGCATCCAATACTAGTATTGCCTCATTTTCCCCACAGAATCTACTTGCAGGTTAAAGATTATTTTGTTTTCCACTTGGAGATTAAAAATTATTTTGTTGAGCTGATTTCGAGTTTGACGTTATTTATAATTGCCGTACAAAATTATATCAGATTTGGCATAATTTGATGGTTTAGATTAGAATGTGAGTTAACATGTTGTTACATAATGTTGTTAGTTAACATTAATATCAATACCACAAAAGAAAGATCAGTTATCCAGATGATGACACTAATTACATGTAACAAGTTACATGCTACATATCCTAAATCATACATGCATTCATATGAGATCTCTAGTAACAATATCAGTTTGAAAGTAACTTCAGTTTATCCAATCTATCGTGCTTGGGGCAGGCTGTCTTCGGGGCTCTAATAGTTTTCCCCCTGTCCAGCTCAACAGACCACTCGGTATATTTGAATGATATGCCGCACACCAGGAGTTGATTCGCCCCTCCACAATCGAGCTTCAGCATCCTTGAAGAAAACCCGCCCAGCCACCTGGATACCAGGTTAGTGTGAAAGACTTTGTTGGTACTAGTTCTGTGGAATCATGCGAACCTGACCGGGTAGCGGATTCCAACTACCCTAGCTAGTTCTGCTTGTCAAATATGGTATCGGTATAGCAGCGGGATAACCGCCCTTCGGTGTGTGCACGCTAGCTAATTATAACTCAGCTTCTTCTGTCCAATTGCTAATTGCCAAAAAAAAAGAAAGTTAAGCTCATTATTGAACTTCAGCCACCAAATTCCATCCACATTTTCAGAAAAAAAAGAAAATTGCAGAACCCAGTCGAAAAACATATGACTTGTTTGTCTTCCACCGACTTCAAAAAGAACTCAAACATAACTACATATTGTATTATAAGATTCATACCCCATTCATATACCTTACTAAGGCTTTGTACTAGTATGCGTACTAGTAACCGGTTGAAGGGGAAGAAGCTCGTCAAATATTCAGTAAGGGGAATAAGCTGGTCAAAACCCCATGCTCTGTACACTTGGGACAACCTCAGCTCCCCTATTCTATCTCCTGAGAAGAATGTCGCCTGGCCAATATGTAAACCTTTACTGCAGATTTTTCTTGCAGCACATTGTTTCTGATATAATTACACACCTTTATGATCTTGGTCAAGCAAGAAGACAACTGCCCTGTAGTACCTGTTGACTTAGCAGCTGGATTTCCTAGACCTAGTCTTTTGTCCCATTCTCCTTTAATATAGCCTTGAGTTTCCCAATGTATGAATCCACCCCCCACACAATCTCCACCACACACACACATATACCAGTGACTGTACAAACTGACACACACACACATACTACTGTACGCCAGCTGCCGCCGCGCCGCGTGCCTGCGAAGCTGGTGTGTTACGCCGAAAGGCGGTTATACCGGCTATACAGATACAGATACACACACGTGCGCGCGCACACACACACATACTATTGTAATGTACACACACACACATTATTAACTACTGTACATACACAGACACACATACTGTACACACACACATACGTTATACTACTGTACACACACACACACACACACACATACTACTGTACTTACGAACACACACACATACTACTGTACACACACACACACACACATACTACTGTATACACACACACACACACACACACACACATACTACTGTACATACACACACACATATAC